GATCCCCTGGAGAAGGGAAAGGCTACCCACTCCAGTATTCTGGCCTGGAGAATTCCATGGACTGTATAGTCCATGGGGTCTCAAAGAGTCGGACACGACTGAGTGACTAAGCACACACACATTTATATAAAAGCTAACATTGGCCTTTATTGATACCAGTCAAGTCCAGTCAAATCATGGCTGACTTGAATACTACTCCATTATCTGTCAACAATCTGATTTAAAACTTACCATGGCAGCAACAGAATTTTATAGGTCAACAGTGACAGCTTTATATTGTTTAGGGGACTATTTATCCGAGCTCTTTAATGTTGCAGTTCATTCTTTCTGTTGCAGAATTATCTTTAATTGATTGACAGGGCCATCAGTAGCTCACAGATGACCTTTATGAGATTAGAAAAAGCTGCCCTTCCCACCCCTGAGGTCTGCACCCTTGCCAGTGCACACAGCTGGGGTTCAGGCCTCCCTTGCCCCTTCAGCAGGACACCCCCATACAGTGAGAAACCTGCAGAGCCATTGGCTTTATCCCCTGTTTACTGAGTACCTTCTTATGTCTCATACCACGTTGGGTAATGACACATATGACCCCTCAGAATTATCAATTATCCTGACAATCCTGAAAGGCAAAGATCATGTAAGGAAACTGAGACCCGGAGAGTTTGAATTGCATGGTTAAGTAAATGATGGGTGAGGATCACACTCAACAGCAGAACAGTCTGGAACACCCGGCTCTAGCTGAAAAGGAAGGAGGACGAACAGATCCAAAACGTGTCCTTTGTCAGCAGCTGGGGATAAAAACCTTCCCAAGGATAAGAAAGGAAGTGCGGTGGTCACCATTGTCTTTTCGTGGTGTTCTCTGAGAGATGGTTTGAAACAAGCATTTGTTTTCCGGCCCTTTTCACTTATTTACTCTGATCTTCCATCCTTCTGAATGGGCTCAGAGAAAGGTAGTAGGATTAGGATGCATGTAATGACCTTCCTTTTCTTTGTGTCCGCCGGGACCTCTTCCTTGCTGGGGCTGCCGAGTGAAGTGTAATGCTCACGAAGGGTAACTTGACTGATGCTCAGGGGGTACAGTCACTGTGCTGGTGGCTTTCCAGGTGTTAACTCGTGTAATCCTCACGACAGTTCAGCCACCCGTTCCCACTCTACAGGTGATGACACTGAGGCACGAAGAGGCTGAGCAAAGCTAGTAAGTGGAAGAACCAGGATTCAGACCCGGTACATTAAGAGGTGTCATTTTCAGGGTTATAAGATATCTGTCCTCCCTTTAGAGCAGCTTATGCTCGTCTATCATGTAGGAAAAAGAACTATTGAGTGATTAGTGAGAGGTCATTACCTCCAAAATACATTTATTTCAAAATTCAGGGTGCAGTTAATCAACAGGAATCACCAAATGAGATGTCATTACACTTTCAGCATTTTCTCTAGTTTTCGGTGATCATTTTGAAAATGTTTTAGCTTTGGGGGGCTACCCCCCCAAAGTATTAGAGACAGTGGCTTCTTCTGTAATATTTCTCAGCTTGGTTGACTATTTTCAGATTGCAATCTAAGAATATTATATGTCAAGGACATTTTCCTACTTCAGGTCTGCCAGTAAGATTAGGAAAAGTACATAAGAATGAAAATTCATACTGTGACCATGGGCATAAATGTTCTAATTATGGAAGAAATTGATAGATCCTTTGGACATGTAAGACACCATTTGTGAATAAATAAAGTTTCACAAAGCATTTGTTTTTTTGAGAAAAAAAAACCTTGACTTATCCTGATAGCCCAAGTTCATGTCCATTGAATCGGTGATGCCCTCCAACATCCCATCCTATGCCTCCCTCTTCTCCATTTGCCTTCAGTCTTGCCCCGCATCAGGGTCTTTTCCAGTGGGTTGGCTGTTTGGTGCTGTTCAATGGACATGAATTTGGGTTAACTCTGGGAGATGGTGAGGGACAGGGAAACCTGTTGTGCTGCAGTCCATGGGGTTACAAAGAATCACATGACTTAGCGACTGAACAACAACAAACCTGATAGCACAGTATATGTTTCAAAACATGAAGTTGAGTGGCTATAATCTGGGTGTGTCCACACATTTTTTCCCCACAGCTTTCTGCTCTAGAAAAATGATGACATTAGGGTGCACCCACAGCTGGCACTGCTGGTTGAAAGTCATTTGTCTCATTTAACTGACAGTGCTGATCACTGTAATAACTGTTTTCCCAGAAAATATAATTTGGAAGACATTTGTGATTAGTATAATAATACATTTCCTTGTCAGTTCCCTAAGGCAACCATCAGCTAAACATCCTTTGTGTGGCATCTAAATGAATTATCTTGTCACAACGAATTTCTTCATAGACCTGAGAAATCACTTTCGTTAAGTTGCCTTCTGTGCTGTTAATTTGAAGGCTCCATGCATGACGAGGCCAGAACAGGGGGAGTGAAGGATAGTCCTCCTCCCAGCTTTGTCCCATGGACCCCAGGCCCACAGCCTGTGCCCTGGTCTCACAAATTCCTTCCTATACTGTGCTTCTCCAGCTTCATGTCTAATCCCTCTCAATGGGGGGATCCACACACATTATCAGAGGTAGGCTGGGAGACTGTTTGATGTGAGTAGATGTATTAAAAAAAGAAACAACTGGCAGTGAGTTGAACTCATGAGAATACATAAACTAAGGAGGTAAAGAACCATGACAGTTACTAACTCAGGGAAAAACAAAAAATTGAATAGCTGACTACCTGGCTCAGTTCTTCATTGCAGACATACTTATTATATGTACAGATAACTGAATATCGATGTAATCTAAATTACAACATGATTACTATTTTAAATCAATAGTAATGTGAAATTTCTGAATTGAAATGTAATGAGAGAGGGTGAAGGGTGATGGAGGCGGGGAAAAAAATGTGTTTTTCATAGTGGGAATTAATTGAAATAGCCTAACTAAAAAACAAAGAAGTAGCAATTCTCTTAGAAATATGGCGGGGGGGGGGGGAGGAAATCTCTCTAAAAACAGCTAAAAGAATGAAAATATTTAACCCTAGAGAAGGGGAAATGGGAGAGGAGACTTGAGTCTTAGTTGTATATCTTAACTTACATTAGATAAGCAGATAACTCTTTAAACTATGTACCTGTATAACTTAGGTCAGGGGTAGCCTAGGAAAGAAAAGAAGAAAAAATATTTTGAGGAGAAAAAAGGATAGAACAGAAAATATATCATCTAGAGGCCCGTCTTAACATGCTGGTTTATTTTCTTCAAATATCTCCCTTTCTGTTTTTCTTCTGTTTCTGCCTTCCAATGATCAACACTGTTATAATAGTACTATATATAAAGTTGATAGCTAACTTATTGAACATTTAATTGCAAAACAGACCTTGTGGTAGTACACATTTTCTATGTATTATTTTATCTGATAAACCAACTGGAAGTGCTGATTTTTAAGCTTATTATATAATCATTATCTTATTTTAGCATATGATCAGCATAACCACCCTTTTCATTACACAATAATATTCCACCCAATGGATTATTGATCTTTCTCCTAAATTATTAGACTTTTAAATTGTTTCCCCAATTTTGCTATTTGAAATAATACTGGGCTGATACATTTTCCCCAAAGCATATTCCTGATACTTTTGTTTTTAGGATGAATTTCCAGAAGCAGGATCACTGGGTCACAGGGTGTAAGCATGTTGCCATGCTGCTTTTTTAAACTGTTCAGAGAACATTTCTGCCTTCATTGTTTAATGTCATATGATGCTTCATGCAACTATGACACAGGTGGGAGAAACAGATGCACTGCCATTTTACAGACATTATTACTGGGAACCAAGTTCCCAAGGTTACACAATTGGAGGAAGAGCCAGAAATGCATTCTACACAGCTCTCTCTTGAGCTTTCTCCCAAATTGGCCCCCCCACCCCAAATGAATGAAACTCAAGACTGATCCATGCCTGCTACTTTCTGTCCCAGACATCTCAGTCTTTACATAGTAAGGCTTCTCTGGCATGGGGCCTTTTCCATTCACTGAGGGCCATTCTGCTTTCAGTTCAGTTCAGTTCAGTCACCCAGTCGTATCCGACTCTTTGCAACCCCATGGAGTGCAGCACACCAGGCCTCCCTGTCCATCACCAACTCCTGGAGCCTTCTCAAACTCATGTCCATTGCGTCGGTGATGCCATCCAATTATCTCATCCTCTGTCATCCCCTTCTCCTGCCACCTTCAATCTTTCCCAGCATCAGGGTCTTTTCCAATGAGTTGGTTCTTCGCATCAGGTGGCCAAAGTATTGGAGTTTCAGCTTCAGCTTCAGTCCTTCCAATGAGTATTCAGGACTGATTTCCTTTAGGATTGACTGGTTGGATCTCCTTGCAGTCCAAGGGACTCTCAAGAGTCTTTCCCAACACCACAGCTCAAAAGCATTAATTCTTCAGCACTCAGCTTTCTTTAGAGTCTAACTCTCACATCCATACATGACTACTGGAAAAACCATAGCTTTGACTAGACAGACCTTTGTTGGCAAAGTAATGTCTCTGCTTTTTAATATTCTGTCTTGGTTGGTTCTTCTGCTTTAAGGGAAGATAAGACCTCTCTAGCAGCCCAAGGGCCACTACTTAGGCTGTGAAATCTACTCAGCCTAAGAAGGAGAAAGGGCAGGACAGAGGAAAGAGCATGAGGAAACAAAATGTACTAAACTAGAATATGGGGCAGGAGCCATGAGCAGGTGCACAAGGAACAAACAGGGAAAAAGAATGTGATTTTGTCAGACTTCATGTTTAAGACGAGGTATTTGAGCTGAAAACACTAGAGAGACTTAACTTGTGGTGTGTTAGGGGCATGATATGGCCTCTCTGCATTCGAGTCTACCCAGGACTTTCTTGAACTGTTAAACCTGCTTCTTGATAGCAATACGCTGTCTCAGGATAGAAACTGAATAATAATTTGTATTTTTCGTTTCAAATGAATAATAAAAAGTAACTTCAAATATCTATTTTTTCAGCCACAGAAGAAACTGAGTCCTGCTTTGTCCAGCCAAAACCACGCGCACTGGGAAGAGAATCTACTTTGTGTGGCAAAGTACAAAAGGAAAGCCTTGCGCCATTAGAGAAGCTCAAGATCTCGGCCGCGTCCACAGCTAATGGCGTTCAGTTCCTCCCTGAACAGCCTCTGGCAAAGGAGGCTGCAGACCCACCAGGAGCCACAGAGGAAACTCAGCCTCTGGAGGGACTGAAGGGGTCGGAGCCACCTCAGCCAGGTGGCAGAGATGGTGCTCCAGGAGCAGGAGGAAAGGAGGAGGATGTGGAAGCAGCGACAGAGGCTCCGCCTTTGAAAGGAAGTGCTGAGACTGAACCTTTAGGAGCGAAAGCCAAAGGTCAGCCTTTGATAACAGCGGGAGAAAGGGACTCTGTGCAAGGTACTGAGGATCCACAAGCTGCTGGAGAGATGACGCCTCTAGGAACAGCTGAGAGAGTTCCTCTGGAAGCAGCCAGAGAGCCAGGATCTCGAGAAGCTGGGGGAAAGGGTGAACAGTCCCAACTCCCAGAGACAGTTACCAAGGAGACAGAATCTCCGGAGATATTGGAAGGCAGTCAGCTTGTGGAAACAGCTCAGACGCAGCAACTTCAAGAAACAGTGGGAGAAGATGAGCAGTCCCAACTTGTAGAAACAGTTCCCAAGGAGAATGCATCTCTGCAAGTATCGGACAGAAGTCAGTCTGTGGGAGCTGAGGAAAAAAACCAACTTCAGGAGACGCTGGGGAAAGATGAGCACTCTCAGCTTCGAGAAACGATGCCCAGAGAGCATGGCGGACCGGAAGTGTCGGATGGAAGCCAGTCTGTGGGAGCCGAGGAAGAGAAGCAACTTCAGGAAACGCTGGGGAAAGATGAGCAATCCCGGATTCGAGAGATTCCCAGAGAGCATGGCGGACCGGAAGTTTCGGACGCAAGTCAGTCTGTGGCGACTACTGTAAAGGCTGATTCACTCTATAAAACTCCCGAAGGTCCTGGGAACATGCAGAAGATCCAACCTGAAAGAACAGTTGGAAGCATGGAACATCCGGCAGGAATTCTAGAGACAGGGGCGAAGGTGGAAATGGCCAGGAAAATTCATACTGACGAAGAGGACCAACACATTGAAGGTAAAAGTCATGCTGTCAGATCAGGTTGTTTAGACGTGCTCCATACGAGATCATCTCCGGGGGGTGGCTCCCCCACCCCGGAGTCTCTCAGTGGTTGAAGTTCCCATTACCCAAACTAAAAAAGCTTCCAGACTTGAACAACAGGCACTTGGCTTTTCAGCAAAAGTTTTCTAAAGGATAGTCTCTAGAAAAGTATCTAGATTTTTAACCTAGTTTCATTGTTAAATGAAATGGGATATTGAAGGGATGTTAAAATTTCTGAATTTTTCCAAGTTCACTCTTCATCAGGCCCCATGTATGGTATGAGGATCCAAAGTAAAGATGGTCAGTGGAGGAACTGACTTTTTAAAATATATAAATTTATTTATTTATTTATTTATTTTTGGTTGCACTGGGTCTTTGTTGTGTGCGGGCTTTCTCTAGTTGCAGCCAAGTGGAGGCTGCTCTCTCTACTTGCAGTGCACAGGCTTCTCTCACTGTAGTGGCTTCCCTTGTTGTGGGGCACAGACTCTAGGTGAGCTGGCTTCAGTGGTTATGGCTCGTGGGCTTAGTTGCTCCATGGCATGTGGTATCTTCCCACATCAGGGATCTAACCGGTGTCCCCTGTATTGCAAGGGTCCTAACCATTGGACCACCAGGGAAGCCCAGGAACTGACTTTTTAATGAAAGAACACACAAATAATGCCTCTTAGAGTGTCATTTTCATCGTTGCAATCTTATCCTTAGAAATTACTGTCAATCTCCCCCTGTCCTCCTTCTCTTTTTATCTTTATGAGACTAGAGAAATGTACTATGTCTTAGCAAATGGTATTTTTAAAACATGTACATTACCTGTATAAAGAAAATGGAATCTATACTGTTCTTTATTGGAGTTACAGTTTAAAAATTCTTCTGGGGCAGGATTTACATTTTGGTAAATTTTAACTTCACCTTACAGTAGAATTAACTGAAACATTCATCTGTTTCTTAATTCTTTCCCTTGTTAATGCAGCAGTTTTTGAGAGTCTAATCATTTGCTTGGTGCCCAGTGCAGGAGTAAGGGATAGTCCCTGTTGTCAAGGGGCTCATAGTCTAGTGGGGAGAAGGCAGAATTTAAACAAAATACCACAGTCTATTGAGTTAAGTGCTTTAATGAAGGTGTATAAAAGTGCTCTGGGAATCAGAAGGCAGAAGCAAGTAAAAGTACATATTTGTTACACAGGCTTGGCACACTCAAGTCTTTGGGGCCTAGGATGATGACAGTGGGTGAATTGAAGGGCACATGTAATGTGGGGAGCCCCAGGGACCTTGGTGAGCAGGAGCACAATCCTATCAAAAGAGGCAGCTGCTTCTTGGCTCCATTCAAAGCATAGGGGCCAGTGTTGCCGAACTGACTTCTTAGGGAAACATTGGTATGTGCAATACCCGGACTTTTAATGTTTCAGCTCTTTGAAAGGTTGATGACTGTTTTCTTTAAATACCAGAATGACCAAACAAGACAGGTTGCTGGGAACCCCTAGACCATATTTTGAATTTTCTATTTGTAATATGTTCTGCTATCACTTAACTGGGTAATTCTGCATCCTGATTTTATATAAGAGAGTGCCAAGACTCAGAAACCTTAAGTGACATCAGCCCTCTGAGGATCTGAGAGACCCAGGGGTGATTGCCTTTCTTGACATCCCCAGAGAAACCTACTGTTTAGTCTTAAAGAGCAAGGGCTGCCCTTGTTGGAAACCAGGTGTGGGGCACTTGGTTGTTAATGCTAAATAAGTATCTCTTAATATCCCCTTTGGTTAATTTTCCAGGTGAGACAGGAGAAATGGTTGAAACAGAGATGGAGAGTGAGAAAGTCAGTGAAGGGGCTGAAACAAAAGAAGAAGAAACAGGAGAAGCCATGGATCTTTCGGCAGCCACACAGATAGGTATGGATGGAAGGGTGAAGGGACACAGCATGTTATAACAGAGAAGACAGAAAACTGCAGTGAAGTTGTGGTTACAGATGGTATCTTTCAACATTGACATGTTTTATACAAGGAAAATGTGGTTATCATGTTTTTGATTACATTGTTCCATAGAACTGCTAAGCTGTAAATGGTTTTCTTAGCTACTTAGAATTCAGAACTACAGTAGCCAGAGCCAGTATTGACTAGAGTATATATTCATTTAAGAGTGTGAGGGCATTTTCTTCATTGTGGCAATGGGTCCATTCAGTGTAGAAAAGTGAGACCCTAAAAGAAAACATACACCTTTAAGTACAGGTGGCTGGAGAAAGGAGTTAAGTGAATTTTAGGCAGCTCATGATAATGAAATCACACAGAATTAGTATGGAAGAAGAATGATCAATAACAATGGGGCAAATTACATCTAGTATTTCTTTCCTATCACAGAATTGAAAGCTAGTCGGAACCTGGGAAAGTGTGTCATTTAATTATCTTCTTACCTTAAGTATATCTGCTACGACGGATCCTTAATGATCATGGTGTATGAAAAAAGGTAACAAAATTCTTGTAAAAGGAATACAGACTCTGGTGCTGTTATAAAATTAGGCATTTTTCACAATGAAAGGCTACACATTTTTAATGTGCCATTTTGAATCATCTAGTGATTTTATATGTATGTGAGGTATTTCAATTGCTGTTATTCCTTTAACTGACATTAAAGGTATTTTAAATTGACTTTTAAATGTATTTCAGAGGCAACAAACAGCAAGAATTAAAAACTAGATTTGTTGCCTATTTGGAGTCTATTCCTTGGGCTCTATTTTTTTTTAAAGATTACTTTGATTTAATATTAGGCTTTAGAGGTGGGAAAGAGCTAAAAAATCAAGATTTTAAACCATTTATAATATTTCATTAATGTTAAAATGATATATCATAGAAAGTCACCTTTCAAGAATTCCTCCAAAGTTGCCAAGGGATTTTGGTAAATTACTATCTGTGATTATATGTGAATAAGAATAATGATAGCAGTCTTTTTCACCAGTGAGTGCCTTGTGCTTATATCAGAATAGAATTATATTCTGGACACATTTGGTATCTTTATCTTATTTGTAAATATATAGTTTAAGGATAACTTCTCAGATGAATTAACTAGACTCTTTTACTTTAGCTTCTGTATTAAACTATGAAGATGATATAATTAATTTTAAGAATATAGAATAGAGGGAAGAATTATCTTTACTCTGATTTTAATGTTTTTATGTTCCTGACTTTAAAGAGTTGCATTGAGGTAGGTAACGAGAGGAGTTACTTGAGTAGATGACCTCATCCTATCTGCAAAATAAAGAAGCTGGATTGTGATTTTATTGAGAAGAAGGACTATTTTATGTGTCTTTGAATTCATGCGTTTTACTCTTTTAATGGAAAAGATGGGTGCTTTCATGAAAATGATAGGTGCTTGATAAGTATTTGTCAAATCAATAAGTGAATAACAAGCACCAAGGGTTCCCATTTATACTTACTTCATTAAAAAAAATATTTAAAATATGGATTTGTGTGATTCTAATGTTTTCATTCCAAAGCTGGTCAGGCTTAGTAATAATGCCTTTAATGCCTTTAATGTGGTTACTAAGACATTTTTAGAAATTGTTCTTATTCTTTTAGATAATATTAATACATTTAAATTAAAAACCGAGAAAGAAAATTGAAATGTTCCATAATATTTGAATATTCCAAAATTAAAATATTCCATCTAAATAATCTGCTAATTAATTTTTTTAAACAAAATTAAAGTAATAATTGCCTATAGTAAAATTCAAATAATACAAAAAGGTATGGAAAGTTGTTCCCCCCATGTCCTTTAGTTCCTTCTATGAAAAGATAATAAAGCTTCTTGCTTCTGATTCTTCCATAAGAAGGTAATGTATATGCCAGGCTATATGGATATGCTAAAACAGAAGTGTGTGTGTACACATCTACATTTTAAAATGCAAATGACAATTTATTTAGCCCTTATATTATGAAAAAGTGCATATAAAACCACAAAACCATCCTTTCCTATGCTAAAGTTTTCTTTCTTTTGCCTAAAACTGATATATCATAGCAAAGTACACTCTGATTCTTAGTCCCCAGACTTTGAGAGTTTATTAAGTTTGCTTCCAGATTTAAAATGCAGAAGCTGGATTAAGACTTGAGCTATTTAAAATGAATTAATAGAAAAACTACCATCAGAAAAAAAAAAAGAAAAACTACCATTAGGGCTGGATTTTCTTGCTATTTTTGTTTTTTAAGTTTTTCTTGAATTTGTTACAACATTGCTTCTGTTTTACGTTTTGGTTTTTTGGCTGAAAGGCATGTAGGGTCTTACTTCCCCAACCAGGGATTGAACCCACACCCCCTGCATTGAAAGGTGAGGCTTAACCACTGGGCTGCCAGGAAGTCCCCAGGACTGAATTTTCTAATTCCAGGAGGATGTATAGCCACTTTGTAGCTGAGTGTGTGTTCTGTTTAGATGATTGCAGACTTTTCCATATATAACTGGGAAGGAAATGGTGAACAAATGATTTGTCAGCTGGCATCCGCATTTGGACTGCAAGGAGATCAAACCAGTCAATCCTAAAGAAATCAACCCTGAATATTCATTGGAAGGACTGATGCTGAAGCTGAAGCTCCAATACTTTGGCCACCTGATGTGAAGAACTGACTTACTGCAAAAGACCCTGATGCTGGTCTGAAGGCAGGAGAAGAGGAAGACAGGATGAGATGGTTGGATGGCATCACCAACTAGATGGACATGGGTTTGAGCACATTCTGGAAGTTGGTGATAGACCTGGAAGCCTGGCGTGCTGCAGTCCACAAGGTCGCAAAGAGTCGGACACAATTGAGTGACTGAACTGAACTGATCCCTATTAGGGAGCGAACGTTGGCATTTATTGACAGGGGGTGCCAGTTGCCAATCTAGGAATTCCCCAATCCAGACTCCAGACTCTTGGTCAGAGGTGCTCTGTATCATCTCCTGGGGGACCCACAGGATAGGACTGTGTGACCAACCTGTGACCTCACTGCTTTTTCCATTCAAACTTTGAAGTAAGAGTCTTAGCATAGCTAACAGCCTTGAGCAATCAAAACACCCCCATCATTTATTTTTTAATTTTTTCGCCATGCAGAATGGTTTGTGGTATCTTAGTTCTCTGACTGGGGATCGAACCTGGGCCCTTGGCAGTGAAAGCATGGAGTCCTAACCACTGGACTGCCAGGGAATTCCCGCACATCATTCTTTTTGTTTTTTCTATTTTTTTCTTCACACATCATTCTTAACAGATGCTTTATTCCATACTTGGCCTTGAGTCAAGAATGGCTTTTAAAGGAAAAAAACCTTTTTTTCCACATTGAAGTAATCAAACAGTGTTGTTGGATGGTCATAGTCAAATAATATGTGCTCTTTTGGCAAATACAATAGATGGTCAGAGCGTCTAACATTACAAGCATCTCATCATTATAAAGCTAATTTGGTGACCCAATTCTGAATTGTTTCACAATGTCAACATTGTGAACATCATAAAGCCATTTCATGTAGCCCATGTCCCTCTGTTGGGTAAAAGGAGAGTGATCCTCTAATAGCAAGGCAGGGCTGTGTCTGAAAAGTTGAAAGCCTTTGCTTAGAAAGTGTCATTTCATCTAAAATTTTGTCAGCTCCTCTCATCCCCAGAGCTTATTTAAGGAGTGAGACTGGCTGTAATCTCAAGGTTTTAATTGAATGAACAGAATCAGTATAATCTCAGAGAGCCGTTGACAGATAGGGAATTTCTCTTTTCAGTTCTTGTCACTTCCAGCAAAAGTTAAGGAAATCCCTGGCAGTACTAACCCACATGAAATCAAATTGGAGACCTTCAGCTTTACTTCAGAAACACCACCCAGCAAATGTATTGGGCAATAGCTGAGATATTGCAAGCTAACAATCATATCATTATTTCTGCACCTACTGAAAGAAGTCTGCAGACGTCAAAGCCAGGCTTTAATAACTGTTGAAGGTCGAAGAGGGGCCAGTGTGTATTATGTTTGTCTAAATTACCCTTTCAGTTTAATAGTGTGCAACTGATGTGAGTAAACACACAACTCTATCCATTACTAGGACAGAGATCTGCCTGCCTCACCGGTTTCCAGAAAGAGTTCTGAGAAACCAGTTAGGGACCATGATTTTGAAGTCGGTCTCATTTTTTTCTTTTTCCCCGGGGAGGGGGTGAAGTTAAAAAGGATAGTTTTTTTACTTTGCCAGGCATAAGAGGAAACAGATGGGCTCCTGCCTGGGTGTCCCCCACCCAGGAGGATTTGATGAGGGATTTTATAACAGTGTTCAAAGGCAGGGTCTGTGACAAGTCTCTGGTGTGTGCAGGGCTTGCACTCCCTTAATCTCCTTTTAAGGTGGCTGACCTCCTAATCTTTTACATTTTTTTTTTCCTTGTAAAATATAGATTGTTGTTGTTTAGTCGCTAAGTTGTGTCTGACTTTTGTGACCCCATGGACTGCAGCCTGCCAGGCTCCTCTGTCCATGGGATTTCTCAGGCAAGGATACTAGAGTGGGGGACTTCCCTGGTGATCAGGTGGTTGGGAATCTGCCTGCCAGTGCAGGGGACACTGGGTTCAACCCCTGGTCCGAGAAGATTCCAGCGCAGCAGAGCCACTAAGCCTGGGCATGCAACAACCACTGAGCCTGCCCTCTAAAGCCCGTGTTCTGCAACAAGAGAAACCACCGCAGTGAGAAGGCCGAGCACTGAAGCTAGAGAGTAGCCCCCACTTGTTGCAATTAGAGAAAGTTCGAGCACAGCAATGAAGATCCACTGCAGCCAAAAATAAATAAATAAAATAAAGAATACTGGAATGGGTTGCCACTTCCTTCTCCAGGGGATCTTCCCCACCCAGGGGTCAAACCCACACCTGCATTGCAGGCACTTTCTTTACCACTGAGCCACCAGGGAAACTCAAAATGTAGTTCTCAAATTTTTCTTAACAAAATAGGAGTAAC